TGCTGAACCATTAGAACAGTGGCAGAACCAACTCCTGGAAAGTGAAGGGCAGCACTTGTTTGGAGCTAGTCGAGCATCTGGAGAATGGGCAGATGGGGTTCAAGATAACATTGATGGACGTCAACATGAAACTGCTGCTAATGAATGGTTGGAAAATGAAGATAGCGAAGGGGCCTCTGAAGTATGGCTTGAGGATGGTGGTTTTTTTCAAGAGGCTGTGCAAAGTTGGCTAACAGAGCCTTCTGACCAGGAAGCTATACCAGTTGGTAGGATGGATCCATTTTATTTTCCTGATGATGACAATGTATACAGTATGGAACTCAGGGAACTCTTGAGCAGGTATGAAGCTCAAGACTGAAGGGCCCATTCCATTCTTTTTGCCGTTTTAGGTCATCAAATTATTTATGCAAGTTTTTTATTCTTGTGGTAGGAGAAGCGTCTCCACACTTCTTCGCAGTGGTTTCCGTGAGAGTCTTGACCAATTGATACGCTCATATGTTGAAAGGCAAAGCCATACTCCCCTAGAATGGGAACTGCAAGAAACATCAGCTATCCCCGCTACAGCAGAACAAGATCTGGAACAGCAGACTGTGGATCAGAATGAGAGTCGGGGGAATGCTGTCCAGAGTCCTTCACTTGCTCAACCTTCCCCAACTATACCCCCTGTAGAGCAGCTCTGGGATCAGGAATCGAACCATTATACTTGGCCACAGCATGACATGCATCTGCGCTTTGGAATTGTGCGTTCACTCATCCTAAGTGATTCTTGGAACTGGATTCTTGTTTACATCATTGCATTAAAAACTACATTTGAATGTTTGCTTCTCTTGGTGAATATTTCTATATAGCTTATTAGTGGCAGGTAAATACCTTTTGATAACTTCTACTAACTAATAGGGTTGGTCATGATGTGTTCAAATTAATATAAAAAATATATTGAACAATTTCAGTTTCGACTGAAACATTGATTTGATTTGATATAGGAATGGGACATCATAAATGATCTAAGGATTGACATGGCTAGGCTCCAACAAAGAATGAATAACATGCAGAGGATGCTGGAAGCCTGTATGGACATGCAGCTCGAGCTGCAACGGTCAATACAGCAAGAAGTCTCAGCTGCCCTGAATCGCTCTTCTGATTCACCAGGTGTGTTCCATTTTCAGAATGATTCTGTTTCTGCTCTTTTTCTCATCATGATATGTGCAAGGCAATTCTTAGGGAAATAGCTTCAGCTTGCAGTCCAGCGTGTATGGATATTTTTTCTTCTAGCGAGGGCCACACCTATCATTTCTCTTAAGTCAGCTTTAGGAAGAAAATAGTTTTCTGCATGCCATTACTTTTGGCCATTTTTTAATGTTTTCCAGTTGGAATTGAAACACTTCTCTATGTTAATTTTTTTATTGGATTCTCAGAAATTGTACGCACGAACTATAACCTCTTCTTTAGTTAGATTTTTCTCCTCTCTTGTACTTGGTGGTATCATTTTATTTGTTCCTTCCTTAGTTGACCATAGAAATACCATTATTTTATTCCAGGGGTGTGTGAGAACAGTGTTCCGGAGGATAGATCTAAATGGGATCATGTGAGGAAAGGAATTTGCTGCATATGTTGTGATGGCAGTATTGATTCTCTACTGTACAGGTAAATTTCAGTGGAACCGTACAAGTTTCTGACATTGATGGGCCAGATAAGAATAGCACTTGTTGCATATTTATCTAATCTTGCATCCCCCCCTTTCTTTTGGGTTACAGGTGTGGGCACATGTGCACATGTTCAAAATGTGCTCATGAGTTGGTCCGAAGCGGGGAGAAATGTCCAATGTGTAGGGCACCTGTAATCGAGGTTATCCATGCCTACTCTATCTTATAATTTGATGGTTGAGAAACTAGTGGACAAAGTAGAAAGAAATGGTATGTTTAGTTTAACTATGCATGATTCATGTGGGGTGTTTGGTGCTATGGTTGGACCATATTTTTAAAACATTTTGATTTATTTTGCCTCAAATTATTTTTTATGTGTTTTTGAAACATTTCAATGTACTGATGTTAAAAATAAATTTAAAAAATAAAAAAATATTATTTTTATATATTTTCAAAAGAAAAATATTTTAAAAAGTAACTTTTACCATTTTTCCAAGCACCCCCAAGCCTTGCCTCTGGATCCCCCACCAGGTGTTTATTATTTCCTGGTTTTTTTTTCCTCATGATTTTGATAATTCGATTGTATGATTGAGATAACAATTAGGCTTCTTTGATTCATTATTTAAATGTGAATAAAAAAATAGAGTGGAAGAATGTGTTAGTGTCAATGTGTTTAGATAACTATCTCTTTTTCCCGGATGCCGAGTGGATGACCGCCCTCATTTCCTTGATTCCAAGAAACTCTCAAATTGATGATACTTCCTGTTTAACAGCGCGTGCTGGGACACTTTTCTGTAAGGATATTTGGTACCACTCAGCATTGAGAGTTTTTTTTTTTTCCTTCGGCGAAAGCATGATTGCATTGGTATCTTGCATCTTTTTGAATTGTACGTACACCCACCTTCTGGCTCAGTGATCAGCAGAAAGTGAGATGGGAAAAGTTTTAGCCTTATTCTTTGACGAGGGTATTGATGGAAATGCAATGCTTGATTGGGATATTGCTAAGATCTTTGACTGGTATTTTCTAACTAGAATAGACTTCGGGCATTTCTTGAACTTCGCATGCTGCTATCGTTATTTGACAATTATCTTCGGCTGAGCAAGCTAACATCCTCACTTACGTGCTTGATTTTGGAGTCATCTCCTCCGGTTACTTTCAAAGATACTTGCTGAAGGGCCAGAAACTACCATCATAGCGTGTAGTAGATTAGTAATTGTAGCTTTACACCAACATTTTTCAAGACAGTTACGGATTACTAGACCTGAACCTTGATCTTGCTTCTCGAAGAACTTAAGATTCTAGCAATCGAGGTGTGCTATTTGAATTTAGCATGTGAAATCCTTAGGATGGAATTTTTTTTTAATTTTTTTTAATGTAGTACTACAAATCTAGTATTTTTTTTTATAATTCTATTTAATTTAAACTGTGGTTTGATTTATATTGAAGCGTTCCGTTATTTTTAATTTTTTCAATTTCTATTAAATAACTTTTAACATTTTATCCATCAATAATATTTAGATTCGCGTTTCATCTATAAATCTGGTCTCCTTAGGTTTTTCCTTAAATTGTTTTCACCCCCTCCATACCGAAAACGATCTTAAGAGCATTTATGTAGCGATCAAGGGGGATTTGATTAGTTAGAAGGGCCCTTGAATAATGAACAATGGAGTGTCAGCTCAAGCAAAGGACATTACTGGTGGCAAGAGACAAGAACATGTTTGCCGACCTGCACCACCTACGATGAGAGAATGATTTCAGATTCATTCCCAGGGCGTTGTAGAGCCGTCCAGTGCCCCATAATCACTGGTTGCTTAAGAAGTATTGCTATCATTAGTTAAGGGTAATTGTACACACCATAATTCTGGTACGAGTTTTATGGAAAAACCTCCCTTGAAATTTTGATAAAAAATTCGTAGCTTTTCTTAAAACCTCCTTTAAGCAAACTAAAAAAAAAAAAAAAACACAGCATATTCAGACTATTAGAGAGTAATCTGGAAATGGATAACATTAATAAAACTTAAATTTCAATATGAACCTTGCACGTAGTTTACAAAGCACCAAGTTGCGTTTTTCTTCTCTCCTTTTTATGATCAGGAGTGTCCTAGTTGACAGATCATGTTCATTTCTAGGATATGATCGAACGTAGGCTATTCGCATTGAAACCTTGGGACTTGTTTTTTTTTTTTTCAATTACCTGACTTGAAATTTGAGCTCTCATGGCTAAACAAGAAAACTACTATATATTGCTTGTATTATCTGAGAGAAAAAGGTTCTTCCTTGTGAGACCATTTATTTGAACATGTTCTCAAGGAGCACATTTTCTAAATTTAAAGTGGAAAGTCCAAGACTTGCAGTGTAAATTTTCAACAGAAAGTTGGGGCAATATGTAAACACCTTTTATCAATTGGAATTGCTTTAATTATCCATCAAAAGTCGTTAAAAGGATCAACTACAAAGAGGTAACTTTACAGGTCTTTGGAAACCTTTCATTTGAAAGTTTAGTCCAAATTTCATATTTAAAATGGATAGAATGGTTTAGAATTTCTTTTATTTAAAAAACCACAGTTACGATCTCAACACCAACTCCCTTATTTTCTTACTTAAAATAACAAATAACTTGATAAAGATTGATTTCAGCTAAGGAAGGCAAACATAAGCCCAAGTGTTTTCTATTCTTACTCTCTCTCTCTCTCTCTCTCTGTCTCTCTCTCTCTTAATGAAACATGATAGTGGCTAAACAATTAATGGAAATTGGGTTAGAACTTCGAAAAAAATATAAAAAAACGCATGAACTATTTTTTTTATATATATTTACTATATTTGAAATTAAAATGAGCATTGATTTGAAAATAAAATAAAAAATTAAAATTGAATGGTGTTTTGATCCATGCCAATTATTGTAGCTGTAAACTCATCTTCAGTGTAGATTGTAAAAATAAAATTATGATTCTTCCCTTCTCACCAAAAACATTTGGCCTCAGGGATAGGTGGGTCTTTTTATATTTTTTACACAATAAAATTACTAACTTATCTTTAAAAGCAAAAAAATATTGAACTAGCATGTCCAAGTTATTTAAATTTTTTATTTTTTAAGCACAATAAAATTACAATATTTTTTTTAAAACAAACTTTAACCGCAGTTCATCATTTTTTTTATTGTTATTATCAAGTTTAATATGATGAGCTTTTATAATTTAATGAATATAAATATTATTAAGAAAAGGTGGTTGACATATGGCTTGAAGCTGCACCATTCAAGCGGCTTGTGTAAAGTGCTTCGGTGGACAAATGATAGCTTCCAAAGCGATGTATGAATAGTTTTAATAGCCCTTCTATTCCTAACTGTCACATATATTGTGCAAATATTCAGTTTATTAATGACAATCTGTTTTTTTTTGCCTTTCTTTCTCCTTTTTGATTTTAGTGTCTGAATTGTAAATTTTCAAAATAGCTTTTCAATTTTTTTCCCTTCAGATTTAGTCCATATTATTTTTTTTTATATTTTTTTATTCTTATTTGTTTAATTAGAAATTATTTATAAATTTGATTTTTTAAAAAAAAAAATTCATCATCCTTTAATTTTTTTATATGTCAATTTGACTCTCATTATTTTAAATCATTTTCTTAATTGTTTCTTAATTTTTTAATTCATCCCTCAATATTTAATTTAATTTAATTATGTTAAATTTGATTTTCATTCTTTTGATTGCTATTTGTATTATGTTGGTGATTTTTTTAGATTTAAATAGCATATATAATTTCATTCTTCAATATTAAAATGATTGAAAAATGAGTTTCTTGATTGAATATGAGTTTATGATTTTATGGGTTGTGAGTTTGGGGGATTAACCTAGATTTATGAGATTTGCCTGATGTTACTTAGTTATTTTATTCCTTTTATTTTTTAAGTTTTTATTTTTTCAGTTTCATCCTTAAACATTAATTTAATTGGAGTTGGAATCTGTTATTTTTTTATTTACTTTCTATAGGATTTTTTTTCTTAATATAAAAATGACTTGGGTTATCTCGGGTCTTTTTGATTGTCGTTCTTTGTTAAATTTATCTCGTTTTGAAATTTTTTTTGAATTAAATTAAATTAAATTATTAAATATAAGTATGAAATGGTTACTGACACGATTAAAAAGTTAATGTTTTATCCCAAGTGTAAGAGTGTCAAAGTAATAAATAATCCGGCAAGACCGGGGTCGATTTACAGGGAGGTCAACTATATAAATTACAAATAATATATATATATATATATATATATATCATAAAACAATGAATTAAATAGAAATTTGAGATATGAGATTAATGTATATATTAAACAATGATAAAAGCAATTGTCAAGGTTAGAGGATCCACTAATGGTATTAGAAATAAGTATAGTATAAACTCTTTTTATTACTCACCTGAAAACCACACACAAAGAAGGTTCCAATCGGATGATTTATCCTTAATAGTTCATGATAAATTTTTAACATGATCATGTTAATTATCTTATTTTAGTACTATCACACTTTTAAATATTGTCAGGAATTTATGACGCTAATTTTTGTTAACAACAAATTAAGTTCTTCTCATAACAACGATGTTTGTCAAAGACTATGAAGGATCAAACATTTATTGTACTAAGTGTTATTCAAGACAAATCTAGATTAATCATTTAACAAGAAAGGTATTAAGAATTAATAAGATAAAAAGATAAGACATATTAATAACAAACTTTATTGGATATAAATATTAAAGTTGATGTTGAGTTTATATTATACATATTCTAACACCATTAGTAAAATCTTTTCAACTTGACATAATTAACTTAGCTAGACATAATGAAGAAGAAAAATATAAATAAACAAGATAAGAGCCTAATTATAATATAAGTTAACTAAGAGTAAAGAAAATAAAAAGCATAAACAAGAGATTAATAAAAGTAAAACATGAAATAAAACTTGAACATTACAAAGAGAGAAAGCAAGAAAATGATCTTGATCTGAAAACTAAGATGCCTAAATGAATGATAAACACTTTATTTTATAAGCTGAAATTTGAAACTATTCATTTGGTAATTGATTATTGATGTAGTGGACTTGGTGAATAGCAGCACTTAAACATTTTGGCTAGATGAAATGATATTGATGCAATCAAAATTTGACAAAATGTTCTTCATAAATGTTGTTGGAAATCATCTCCTCTTTCCACCCATAATATTTTAGAGCTTTTGGATCACTAAAGATTGAGATATGGCTAAAATACTGATTAGTATGATTAGCACTTAAAAATATATTTTTATCAAGGTTTTATATTATCATTTTGCACTTAAAGTGTCAATAACTCC